GACATCATCCCCTAGACCAGTGGTTCTCAACCTTCCTAATGCCCTGACCCTTTAATACAGTTCCTGTGGGTCACAACCCACAGGTTGAGAACCACTGCCCTAGACATTTTCTTTCAAACAAAAAGCTTTATTGATTTTAGTGTAGGAATAAACTCAAAGAGGCTGTGCCACTTGGTCTGACTCCTTCAGACACTCTAAAAAAGTCAGAGACATTGGGGTGGAAGTTTGGCATTAGATTTGCCGTAGATCAAGAGCTTGGAACAGCCCAGGGTCTGAAGCATTCTTTGGTAGCAACAATAGCTGCAAACTATTGAATAATTTGTGTGTGCCAAGAACCTGATATGCATCATCCCACTGAATCTTCTCAATAGCCCTGTAAGGTAGGAGATTTGTTACCCAACCCCCTTTACTGATGAGGAATCTAAGGCCTAGAAACATTAAGGGACTTGCCCAAAGTACCACAGCCAGTCAAGCCCAAAGTCAGTCTTCAGTCTCAGGCTGGGGGCCTCACATTCCTGTGTCACCCCAGTATTATCCTGCCTCTCCTTATGGGGTCTTGGATGATTCCCCCACCCTTTGGCCCTTCCCCAGGCAATGCCCCTTGCTGCTCCTTTACCCAGACTCTGCCCTTCTTCCCCAACCTTAGGCTTCAGTCCTGACATACTGCCCTTTCTGCAGTCAGAAGCAAACACTGGGGCAAAGCAGACCTCTGTGGCTACCACTGTGCCTTACCTCCACCAGCTTCAGCTGAAGCCTCTAAACATCTCCAGTATAGAAGCAGCCCAAAAGAGTATTTCCTGTCCAGCATATGCTTGCCCTGAAAACATTCCTCATGTAGTTAAGATAACTAAACTGTTAACAATCCTGGAGTCAGGCTGACCTTGGGGTAAATCCTGGTCAAGTCTCTTGAAGCTGTTGTAGCCTAGTAAGTCCCTTAACTCCCATAGGCCTCAGTTTCTCCATATATAAAATTACATTCTCCAGCTTGCAGGCCAGTTACAACTATGTAAAAGGTCTAGTATAGCACCTGACACATGGAAGCCACTAGACATACGTTAGTTGTGCTTGTTGGATCCTGGCATGCTCTGCTGTCTCTCAGCTTGCCTCTCTTCCTGAAATCCCAGCCATAGGCCACCACCCACTACCTGACACCCTCCCCCTCATCAGGCCCTTGGCCTGTCCCTCAGCATAAGAGCACAGCCAGTCTCAAGTCTACCCTGCTGTAAGCAAACACTTGCAACAACTCTAGGCCCCATTGCATCAGCGTGCCCACACCTGGTGCCACATTGTGCTGAGGGCAGTCAGGAAACAGGCCAGTAGAGGAGGGGCTGACACTTTGGGCTCCCTGGTCACCTCTTTCTTTCCTACTGGCATATGGGGTCTGGCAATTTGGTCCATTTAACTGTAGACCTCTATTCTTTAGAGTCTGGGCCTCTGATCTTCTATGCAAAATAACAAATGAGACCCAATCTTACTTTGTTTAACTTGATTTTTAAATATTACTTCATTAATACATATTTATTGTGGAAAATGTAGGAAATACAGATAAGCAAAGAGGAAAATAACCCATATTTCTACCATTAATATAATTGTTACCATTTTGTTGTATTTTCTTCCATATGTATATTTTCTATATCATATATACATATATGTGACAAAAATGGATCATACTACCCACATACATTTTCTGTTTTCCCCCTTGTGATAGTCATCTATTGCTGTGTAATAAATTATCTCAAAACTTTTGGTGGTTTGATTCTTCCATGCATGTACTATGGTGATGAAAATGTTGTATCACACTATCCTGTACCTGGAACATATGCTAAAAGACAGAAAATGCTTTCTAAAATGATTTGTCCTGTAATAATAAAATTTCATTTTATGAAATGCTTTTTTAAAAAAGTAGTGACTTGGAACAACAAAGCTGTATAATCTCACTTGTGACCTATAGAAACTGTGTGAGGTAATAAAGCTTAGCTAAGTGGTCTGGCTTGATGTCTCTCCTGAGGTTGCAGTCAGGGTGTTTGCTGGGGCTGCATCATCTGAAGGCTTGACTGGGGCTGGAGGATCTGCTTCCACGGTGGTCCACCCTCATGCCTGGCAAGTTGGAGCTGCCTATTGATAGGAGGCCTCACTTCTTGGTGGACCTTCCCAGAGAACTTGAGTGTCCTCAGAGCATGGTGGTTGACTTCTCCCAGAGGGAATAATCCAAAGAAAGCAAGGCAGAAGTCACAATGTCTTTTCTTGCTTATCTTTCAAAGCCACATGTCATCATATCTGTATTAGCCTATTAGCTACCAGGGCTAGACCTACTCAGCATAGGAGGGGACTATACCATGGGATGCATACATACCAGAAACAGGGCTCATTGGAGGCCACTTTGGAGGGTTGCCACCATATTCCCTTTAAACAGTAACTCATAAACATCTTTCAATGTCAATGGAAGCAGATTGATCTTATCATTTTTTGATGGGCGGTGCCTGTGGCTCAAAGGAATAGAGTGCTGGCCCCATATGCCAGAGGTGGCAGGTTCAAACCCAGCCCTGGCCAAAATCTGCAAAAAAATAATAATAACAATAAAAATTAAAATTAAAAAATCATTTTTGATGACTATATACGAGTCATTACGAGGGTTTACATAATTTCTTTGCCAGTCCCCTATTGTTGGATGTGGATTATATCCCATTTTTTAATACTAGAATGAGTAATCTTGCATAGCCATCACTAAGCTTGTCATATTATTTTCTTGCAATAAATTGAAAAGAAAATCAAGTCATGGCTATTGATCAGCTCTTTGAGCAACCAAAGGGCAGGGATACTACTGGGACAAAGAAGAAGGTCCCTCTTTTCTCTCTCTCTCTCTTTTTTTTTTTTTTTTTTTTTTTTTTTTTTTGGAGACAGAGGAGGGTGTCTCTCTCTCTCTCTCTTTTTTTTTTTTTACTCTGTCATCCTGGATAGAGTGCTGTGGCATCATCATAATTCATAGCAACCTCAAATTCCTGGGCTCAAGCCATCCTCTTACCTCAGCCTCCTGAGTAACTGACACTACAGGTGTGTGCTACCATGTCCAGCTAATTTTTCCATGTTTTAGTAGAGATGGGGTCTTGCTTTACTCAGACTCGTCTCAAATTCCTGAGCTCAGGCAATCCACTGCCTCAGCCTTCCAGAGTGCTGGGATTAAAAGCGTGAGCCACTGCACCCAGCCTAAGAGTAGGGTCCTTTCTGACTTAGCTCTTCTCTTTCTCACCCCATTGAATGAAGAGCTCACTGTCTTCTGAGACAATCTAGCCCATTTCCTTTGCTCTTTTAAAAAAGTTCTTAATGGAAATGATGTTCATCCATCCTCCTCAGGACAGCCCTTGAGATATCAAGGACTCTGAGTATGTCCTGGGCTTCCCTCATGAACCATATCCCTGCGGCCCTCCTCTTCCTGGTCCCTTCTTTCTGGACAGGTTCTGCATAGGCTTATCTAAAATTCCTTGAAAGAAGGAACTGTTTCCTGCTATGTTTTTAGTGCAGAGCCAACACATTGGCATTGTCATCACTCCTTCACCTAAAGAGGAAGCATTGAGCTAGGACAAAGGTGGGCACACAGGAGGGGTTGTGTGAGACATAAGAATTTGGCCCTAGGGGATTAGCCACTGTGGGAAGAGGGGGTATTGCACCCCTTTCTGCCCTCACAGGTGCCAGTGAATGCAAGGAGGCAGCCTGCAGGAAGGAACTCTGGGGAAGGTTGTATGTCACCCAAAGTATAAGCTAGAGAGGGCACTGTGAGTCCAGCTAAACCAAAAAAGGGGTCCATCTGCCTCAGCCCCAGCATTTGTCCTCACCCTCCACTTCCACCTTCTAGAGCACAGAACTGGAGAATTTGGATTCTCCTCACCTGTGCTGTATGCTGGGGTCTGGAAGAAGAGATGCCCACTGGAGCAGTTGCTTCTTGGCCTGGCTAGTATAGAGGAAGCTCCCCATGCCCACTGCAAACCCAGGTATGAGCCCTGCTCTCACAAGCAAATAATGGCTTAGAGCCACATGCTGGACAGGTCAGTGACCTGTCACATGGGGTCTGGTGAGGACATCTTTGCTCTATTTTGGGAAAGGGATCAATCGTGTCAAGGGCTTCCTCAGGAGTGACCATACTGGCCACTGGGGGGAGAACCTAGCATTCTGACAAGGCACCCTCTGTACTCTGACTCATTGCTGACTCCAGCTAATTTTAGCAAGGTTTGGCAGGTGCCAGCAAGTTCAATGTATATGGGGGTCACTCCTAGGTAAACCCAAAGAGGGGACAGGGCCAGAGGCTGGGAGACATGGTCTGGATGGATGTTCCCAAAGCCAGCCTTGGGCCTAGACTTTCCAGTCGCAAAACCTGAGAATGACCTCCTCAGTATTTTGCTTGTTTTTGTTTCAAGGCATCTTGAGACAGGTTGATGATTTATAGTTGAAGCTTGTTGGGGCAGACCTGAGGACCTCCACCTGTTCTCAAAGGCCCCATGAGGCAGTGTATACACCACCAAGCTAATCCTTTAGCCATCAGGCCCTTCTCCCAATGGCTGGAGGACTTGGACCTGGCCTTCCTGCCACTGGCCTACCCCCACCACCAAACACCATACAGACCCCCACACTGTGTGAAATGTACATTAGACCTCTCCACATTCGAAAATCCACTGGGGAGTCCCCATCATCTCTAGCAGCAAGTCCAAACCCTCACTGGCATAGGACAGGCCCTCTGTGCCCTTCCTTGTCTTTGGTAATGAACACTGCCCCCCAAGACCCTGGTGACATCCCACCTGCACAAGTCAAGGAATGGAGTATGAATTGGCTGGCCTTGTGCCCCCTCCCCTCCCTCTGGGCAGCAGTCCTGACCTGGCATTCACAGGGCATGGCAGCTTGCCCCATGGCCCCTGTCAACCCTGACCTCTTGTGGGTCTCCTCTGCCCTTTCAGCCCTGTCCCTGACCTCACGGCAGTGAGCAGAGTATTTCAGCAGCTGCCTGTTGAGCTCTGTCAGTACAGAAGTTCTGGGCTGCCTGCCTCAGGCAACTCACCGGCCAGTCAGCTCTCACCTACCATAGCCACGCTCCAGACCTCAGTGGGGCAGGAGCATTTCTACCTCCCCAAATACCTGCCACTTGGCCCCTCGGAGAGATGGCAGTGGATACCACAAGAAGCCAAGCCCAGACAGCTTTGACTCTGGTAAGGGTCACTCCAAAGTCAGGGACTCTGGATTGGGAGAGTGGTCCCCAGGACGGCACCCTTGGTTTTAGAGATTACCAAAACCAACACTGGGGGCAGGGGTGGCAAGTGGGTGTTGGACCCTTGCAAGAAAGCACACAGGCCTGAGGAGTCCTGGTTAAGGCAGCTGTGCCTGCACCAGTGCTCCCAACTGCCCAGTCCTCTCTGTGTCTGTCTACTGTCCAGTCTCTTGGGAGTTCTAGGAAACTTGCTCCTGGGGCTGATAGTGACCCAGGACACCAGTGTCTGGTGCCAGCTTGGAGATTTTATGGGAGGTAGCTGGCTTCCCAGTGCTGTCTGGCTCTCAGGGGTCTCACCCAGCAGTTCCAGGAGTTGGTGGATCAGGGGTTCTCTTCCTCAGGAGAATGTGAGTGGCTGGCCCAGAGTCACTCACTACTGTGTACACAGCCACCCAAGGGCCCAGGAAGACAGGGCCAGGCTGCAGCTGGACACATGGCTCTGAAACAGGCTCTGGAGCCCACAGGCCTACAGCACTTGCCCAGGAGCCCTTGGTCATGTCCTCTAGGCTGGCTGTGTCCACTCAGACTGGCCCCCCCATGCCCTTAGAGCTATCAAATGCCATATGAGAAAAGATGGCCTACATTTTTGCCACATTCTGGGGATCACAAAGCATTGCTCACTGCATAAAGGGGCTGGTGGCTGCCCAGCTGATTCTGCAGCCCTGCCTGGCCTGCTTCACCCCTTCCACTCTGCTGTCTGAGCATGCAACCATGACCACGTCCAGGCCTGTGGCTTAAGGGTTTTCTCCATACTGATGGCTTCCAAATGTATGTGTCCAGCCAGACTCTTCCCAGAACCCTATCCTCACACAGCCAACTGCTGCTAGGGAAAATTCTCTCATTGGCTGGCCATGTGTAAACATGGCCAGACCAAGTGCCTGGCTCCCCCACCTTCCCCACCCCACCTCAGTGAGCAGAGCCCCTCCTTCCCAGACCATTCTCTTCCTCTTATTCCCCCCTCAATCTGTCAGCAAACGTTATTTGTCACCCTCCCTTCAGAATAAATCTGGATTCTTACTGCCTCTCACTAGCCCCGCACCCACTAGCCCTGCGCCTGCATTGTATGGGGCAGCCTGGTGCCCCCCTTCTTCCTGCCCCAAGACACCTCTACTCTGTGGCCAGGCACCTCCAGGCCTCACTCCCCTCTGACCCCAGTGCAGGCTTCTGCCCACCTGCATGAACCAGCAGTTGCCCCACATGTCCCCCCTTTGTTCCCCCTCTTACAACTTGCCCCCAGCTTGATGAGATTCTTTTTTTTGGTTGTTTTTTTTTTTTTTCGTTTGTTTGTTTTTGAGACAGATCCTCAAGCTGTTCCCCTGGGTAGAGTGCCATGGCATCACAGCTCACAGCAACCTCCAACTCCTGGGCTCAAGTGAGTCTCCTGCCTCAGCCTCCCAAGTAGCTGGGACTACAGGCGCCCGCCACAACGCCCGGCTATTTTTGGTTGCAGCCATCATTGTTGTTTTGGCAGGCCCGGGCTGGATTCGAACCCACCACCTTAGGTGTATGTGGCTGGTGCCTTAGCCACTTGAGCCACAGGCGCTGAGCCACTTAATGAGGTTCTTAACTGCGGTTCCCACAAGGGGGCTTGTCATGCTCTGCTCCTGTGCCCCACAGAGCACCTGGCACACAGTGATCATCTGCTGGGGAGACGGGGGTCAGCTGCCCTGCGGGGATTGTGGGGAAGTCTTCAAGCAACCTAAGCCCTCCATTTGGCTGTCACTATGAGCCCTGAAAATGTGCCCTGTGACCTCTAGGGCAAGGGCAGCAAGAGAAGCCCCTGCAAGTCAGCAGAGGTTGCCTCCCTCAGGCTGCTGGGATGTGGTAGGCTCTAACTGTGCTTTTTCCTCCCAAGGCTACACTTGGGGGACCAGGCACTGGCAGAACCCACATTTCCTAAGCTGCTCAAGAAAGTCGTGTGGCTTGCAGACACCCAGAACAAAGCTGGTCTGTGAGACACTTGTAGCAGGGGTTTGGACTCTAGGAACACCTGGGGCTGGAACCCAGGGACTGGGTCTGAGCCTTCCCTGGCTAGGCTGCCTCCAGGGTTTTCTCTATACTGATGGCTCCCAAATATATGTGTCCAGCCAGACTCTCCCCAGAACCTGTTCTAGAGCTGGGGCTGGAACCCAGGCAGCCTAACCGGGGAAGGCTCAGAGTCGGTGCCTGGGTTCCAGCCCCAGCTCTGCGCTCCCTGGCTCTGAGGGCTTGGGGAGGGTTTGTACTTCTGTGTTCAGTTTCCTTGCTGTGAGAAATAGAGATAATAAAAGTGCCTGTGTCCCTGGGTAACTGTGGGAATGACAGTGGAGGGAGCACCGGGAATGGGCTGAAACACAGGAAGTGTGGGTGGCTTCAGTCAGTGTTCCTGGGCATGTCCCAGGAGGTCTGCAAGGCAGACCTCCACCCTATGCTATAACCCCAGGGTGGTAAGACCAAGCCAGATCAGAGCTCCCTCCTCTGGAACTGCACGCTGACCCTGTGCCAGGAGCATGGGTATCTGTAGACCTCAGTGCACCCTGAGGAAGGGGCTTGTGCCCAACATGGACAAGGCTTACCTTTGGGGGATGCCAACTTTGGCGAGAGATGAACCCCCAGGTCTTCCTGTGGCTACAGTCTCAGAACATTATAGCATCTGTTCTTCAGCCTGTGCCCACAAGAAAGCATGTGTGTCCCCACAGGAGTCCCTATAGTTATCATGATGTGGACAGGGCAGGGGAACCCTGTAGCACCTGCTAAGGCAGGACACAGTATGAGGGCCCTGTACCCAGATGACTCGTCTGGCTCCACTAGTGCCAAGGAATAGGCTCCCTCACCCCACGCACCCTGCCTCCCTCCAGGGAGAAGGCAGACCTACTTTTATAGAAATCTAGATTTTTCTATAAGAGTGTCTCTACTTTAAATAGATTTTAAATGTTGGCAGAAAATTTAAGCATTTGAGAATGTTATGCAGAACAAATCAGATCCACAGACCAGATGCAACTTTATTTACAGAAATGGGATCAAGTCAATAGAGTAGGGCCAGCTAGGGAAAAGCCTAAAAAAGAAGGACATGCTACCAGGTCTTGGCAAAGACCCCATCTCTCTTCATAGGGAAGGCCCTTTCTCCTTCCCTATAAAGGCCACAGAGGCCCCATGCTGAGTCCTCAGTGTTGCAGAAGGTGGCAACACCATGTGCATCTTGTGAAATGCATGCAGGACTCTTTCTGCAGAACAGTTTTTTTTTTTTGAGACAGAGCCTTAGGCTGTCTCCCTGGGTAAAGTGCTGTGGCATCAACTCCTGGGCTCAAGCGATTCTCTTGCCTCCACCTCCCAAGTAGCTGGGACTACAGGTGCTTGCCACAGTGCCTGGCTATTATTTTTGGTTGTAGCCATCATCGTTGTTTGGCTGGCCCAGGCTGGATTTGAACCTGCCAGCTCAGGTGTATGTGGCTGGTGCTTTGGCCACCTGCAGAATAGATTCTCAGGAGAGAAATTGCTAGATCAAAATTAAATATTAATAGAAACTCCAAATTGCCCTCTGAACAGGTGGTATCAGTTTGACTTCATGCCATGCCTGGGATTCCTCAGGGGGCACTATCTGGCCTAGAAGCCAGCACAGTTGGGGCTTCTTGAAGTCAGCGACAGGGCTGAAATGGGCCTGAATACAGATGGTGAAGACTGAAGCCTCTCCTGCACTTTGCAGGGCCTTACTGGTCACCTCTGCCTGTGATAATAGAAACACTAGCCACCATGTACCTGGTTCTTACTATGTCCTTTTGAGGGGTGGGCCAGTTTTCCACATAGTCCTTTGAGGGAGGGTCACTCAATGACCTTCGTCTGTCTGACAGTACTACATATCACCTCACTCTGCCCTGGCACAGGCTCCAGGAAGAGCCTTCTCCCATGAAGAGCCTTGGGCTGAAGGGCCAGAGTCTAGGCCCATGGCCACCAGGATGGGCTTCTAGGACAGAGGGGCGGGTGTGGGGCCCAGCAGGCCCAAGGGCTGCACTTGCAAGATCAGCATCGCTTTTGTTAAGAGTCCATGGGTGTCTATAATCAGGTCCCTCTGAACAGTTTCGTCTGGGAGGAGGTGTTGGGCAGCCTGGTGAGGACTCTCTGCCGACAGTCACCACGCACATGGCTCTGGACACTAGTTGCACTGCAGTGTGCTAGCTGCATGTGCCTTTCCTCATCTGCAAGATGGGACGATGCTGACACCTCCTCCCCAGTGCTGCTGGGACAGGGTGTCCGGTGCAAGGCAGTTGTGCAAAGCTTCCAGCTCAGGCAGGGCCTGGCGTGTGGAAGAACTCAGCAGCTGTTAAGTGTTCTTGCAATTAGTTCCTGGCACACGCTGTGATGAAGGAAGAGACACAGAGACGGCAAAGGTTGTAGCTATGGAGCCTTTGAGGACAGTCAAGTTTGGATTGTTTTACAGAGCACTGATTGTGTTTCCGGGGGGGTGCCCCATGGGGACAGAAGGGGTCACCCCCTTCCAAAGTGGCAGAACAGCTCCTGTGCAAACATGAGTGTTTCGTTCTGTGTCTTTTTTTTTTTTTTTTTGAGACAGAGTCTCAAGCTGTTGCCCTGGGTAGAGTGCTATGGCATCATAACTCACAGCAATCTCCAACTCAGACTCAAGCGATCCTCTTGCCTCAGTTTTCTTCTATTTTTAGAAGCGACCGGGTCTTGTGTTTGCTCAGGCTAGTCTTGAACTCGTGAGTTCAAGCTATCCACCCGCCTCTGCCTCCCAGAGTGCTAGGATTGCAGGCGTGAGCCATCGCTCCCAGCCTGATTCTGTGTCTTTTGTCACAGACTTTGTCAGCCCCATCCCTTTCTGACCCTCCCTGGGTTTAAATTTCACTTGTGGGGCCTCATTAACAGAGGTAGTTCTTAACTAAGGATCTATACCCACTGGGAATGCTTTGGACTGTAGGAAACCAAACAGCTGTCCACCTGTGGCCAAAGTGGTTAGTATATGCTCCCATAACCCGCAACATGAAGGTGGGTGGACCAGGATCAATCTCTCTTCTCTGCCACCCATAGTCTGCTGACAGCTTTTTCCCTGCACCCTTCTCTTTCTGATTGCAAAATGGCTGTTGCAGTGCCAGTCATCACATCTTTTTTTTTTTTTTTTTGGAAACAGAGTCTCACTCAGCCTAGTTTACAGCAACCTCAAATTCCTGGATTCAAGTGATCCTCCTGCCTCAACCTTCCGAGTAGCTGAGACTACAGGCACCTGCCATAATACCTGGCTAATTTTTTTATTTTTTATTTATTCATTTCTTTACTAGAGATGGGGTCTCTCTCTTGCTTAGGCTGGTCTTGAACTCCTGAGTTCAAACAATCCACCCACCTCAGCCTCCCAGAGTCCTGGGATTACAGGCATTGAGCCACCATGCTGGCCTCATCACATCTCTATACAGCCGTGTTTACAAATTTAGCAGGCACTGACCTTCCCCTCCAACTAAAATCAGGGTTCCCTTCACCTGTCATGGGCCAGAACTGAGTCACATATCCAACTTTAGACAAGATGCCACCAAGGGGGGATAGAATTGCTGGGCTTGGCTTAACCCAACCACAGCTTAATGTGCCCCCCACACCAACAAAATCTAGGTCCTAAAAACTAATGCAAAAGGGGAATCTCTAACCCCCTGAGCTTATGTGTAAGACTGTGGGCAAAAGAGTGTGAGTTTTTGAAAAGAGTGAATCCACTGCTTTTATCTGAGTATCTTTCATTTTCCTTTTTGGTTCAAAATGAAAATATCTTGGCTCGGCCTCTATAGCTCAGAGGCTAGGGTGCCAGCCACATATACTGGGGCTGGTGGGTTCAAACCCCACCTGGGCCTGCCAAACAACAGTAACAACTCCAACAAAAAATAGACAACTGTTGTGGCGGGCACCTCTAGTGCCAGCTACTTGGGAGGCTGAGGCAAGAGAATTGCTTAAGCCCAAGAGTTGGAGGTTGCTGTGAGCTGTGACACCGGGCACTCTACTGAGGGTGACATAATGAGACTCTGCTGTCCCCCTGGGTAGAGTGCCATGGCATTACAGCTCACAGCAACCTCCAACTCCTGGGCTCAAGCGAGTCTCCTGCCTCCGCCTCCCAAGTAGCTGGGACCACAGGCGCCCGCCACAACGCCTGGCTATTTTTTGGTTGCTGCCGTCATTGTTGTTTGGCGGGTCCGGGCTGGGGATTCGAACCCACCACCTTAGGTGTACATGGCTGGCGCCTTAGCCGGTTGAGCTATAGGCGCCGAGCCAAAAGAAAATATCTTGATGATTATCTTTCTTACCACTGTGCAAAGATACCAGTGTCTCAACATACCCTTTTCTCCATAAATATGCACTATTGTGCAATGGGTACAGACACATGGCTATCTACCCGCAGAGTCCAGCTTGCTGGTGACTCAGTGGCCGAGCCACAGTTGCATTCATGGCCTGTTCTCATGCCACCATGTGCAGGGCAAGTGGCCACACCATGAGCAGTCCATACTCCTGTCAATGCATAGAGACCTTCCTCACTCTGTGGCCTCAGAGCGTCCATGTCATGGGTGGCTTTAGTTAACAGACACCTCCTGATGTATGTTGACCTTGGTCAGCCCTCATGCATGCCTGTGCATACTCGCCCATTTACTTCCTGGCATAAATCCTGGAAGTAGAATGACCAGATCTTTCAGACAGTGATGCCAGCTGCCCAGCCTCCTCCAGTCCCGCTCACCAACCCATCCTGTGAACCCCTTCCTCTCACTTTGTCTCAATACGAGGGAGAAAAGGAGGCATTATAAGACATTGTGCCACAAGGATATCAACAGGGACAAAAGCCACTCTGCCCTCTGCCCCTCATCCCTCCAACATAACCTGGGCTAAATTTGTCAAATTTTTGAGACCTAAAATTCTGTTTTTCTGCCTTTTTTAGTTGTTTTTAACTGTGGTGAATTATTTGATGGGTCATCCTAGACATGGGGTCAGAGAACAAAGAAAACCCAAGATGTGTGGCAGAGATTCCCGTGAGACCTTGTGCCTAGTGACAGCCCTACTCCTGCCTGGCTGATCCCATCCCCCTCCCTGTGCAGGTGGAACAGATCCTGGCAGAGTTCCAGCTGCAGGAGGAGGACTTGAAGAAAGTGATGAGACGAATGCAGAAGGAGATGGACCGTGGCCTAAAGCTAGAGACCCACGAGGAGGCCAGTGTGAAGATGTTGCCCACTTACGTGCGCTCCACCCCAGAAGGCTCAGGTATAACAGAAATAGGACCTGCATGCAGACCGGCTCCTCATCTGAGGCAGCTGTGGGCTGGGCCCCAAACTGGAGCTGTACTCCTGGCACTTCCAGCCTGGGCTGTCCCCAGTCTCCCTGACATGGGGTCTCCTGGGGAGCAATAAAGTCTTGATTCCTCTGGTCCAGTCCTGAGAACCTCAGGACCCCCTGGAGCTGGAAAGCCTCAAGAAAAATGGCTTTCTTCATCTTGCTGCTCACTTAGGGGACCCACAAGCCCAGCCTGAGTCTAAGCTAGTACACTAGGTCCCAGTTGGCCCTGGGTTCTGGGTGACTCAATCTAAGGAAAGGATTGCCCATCTATTTCTCCTCAGTTTCCCTTTAACCCCTCCACAGTTTGCTCTGGTGTCCCCCAGATATTTGGCATCAACAGCTCCTTGTCAGCTCTCTTGGTCCCCCCATGCTTTCCCCTCCACCTTTCTCTGGTCTCAGGGGCCGGCCACCCAGGTCCCACCCAGCCCAAGGCCTTCCAGTCAGTGCCCATGATGCACTTCTCCCTGTACCTGCAGAAGTTGGGGACTTCCTCTCCCTGGACCTGGGCGGCACCAACTTCAGGGTGATGCTGGTTAAGGTGGGGGAGGGTGAGGCGGGGCAGTGGAGCGTGAAGACCAAGCACCAGATGTACTCCATCCCCGAGGACGCTATGACGGGCACAGCCGAAATGGTGAGTAGCTCAGGGGGCCAAGGATGGGGGGGAGGTACGGCTCGCTAGGATCTCTGAGCCCAGCTAGTCCATCCACAAGAGGCAAGGGAAGCTGTGGGTAGGAGGACCTCCCTCAGCCTCTGAGGACCCAAGAAAGCAGCTGGGAGGCATAGAGAGACAGATCAGACATGGCCAATGTGCCCCTAAAGTCTCACAGTCACCATCTGGCCAGCATTGAGAGGGGTCCAGTGGCAGAAGAGGCCCCAGCCAGTCACACCCTGTCCAATTTCCCAGAGGAAATTGATTATCCATGCAAGCCACTCTTTTTCAGGGACTGCCCCTTGCTCTTCATCAGCATGCATTCAAAGTCGGGTGGCAGCAATCCTAGGCAGAAGGACTGGGAGTCGGGGGCACAAAAATAGAGAACCCTGCAACAGCTGAGCAAGGCCAGAGCCCCCCAGCTGATTCCCAGAGGATCAGGGTTTCAAGGCAGGAGGCTGCCCAAGGCCCCTGGCTGCCCCACACACACCTGCAGCTCACCTGTCTGTCTATGAGTCTGGACAGGAATTAAGGCAGCGGGCATGGTGTGGCCACGGCACTCAGCAAGGAGCTTGGTCAATTGGCAGAGGACTCGGCAATGAGCATAGACAAGCGAATGCAGGGATTGAGGGATGACCTTTAGCAGTCATGGGACAGCCAGCATACCTGGATGTGAGACTCCAGGTGCTGGAGTCAGAAACTGCAGTTACGGCCAAGGATGTGCCTCCATCTAGAGCCTCAGGAATAGCTGGCCAGGCCTGAGTCTGGACCCCACTGGATCATCTGGGCCGGTCCCTGGGGCTGTCAGCAGCAAGGCTCTGGCACCAGGGGGAGCTCAGGGCCTGAGCCTCCAACAAGCAGCTGTGGAAGCGCAGAGAGGGACTGTGGACAGACCTGGCATTCAGTGAGAGGCACAGAGGCCAGTGCTTCCCTGGGGCCTACTGGCTCAGCACCCCCCCATCACCTCAACACATGGCCCCAGGGATGGCTCTGGCCACCCAGTAGCCTGATGGTCACCTCCAGGTGAATCTTCTAGCTCTTTGACTACATCTCCGAGTGCATCTCTGACTTCCTGGACAAGCATCAGATGAAGCACAAGAAGCTGCCCCTGGGTTTCACCTTCTCCTTTCCTGTGAGGCATGAAGACATTGACAAGGTGGGCCAGGTGGATGCATGCAAGGCAGACAAGTAGAGGGATGTGCAACCCAGGGGGGAACTCTCTTTCAAGTGCAGCCCTACACCCCATGAAGGGAAAGAGCCCAAACTCTAAAGCAGCGGTTCTCAACCTGTGGGTTGTGACCCCTTTGAGGGTCTCCTGCACATCAGATATTTACATTATGATTCATAACAGTAGCAAAATTACAGTTATGAAGTAGCAACAAAAATAATTTTATGGTTAACGGTCACCACAACATGAGGAACTGTATCAAAGGGTCACGGCATTAGGAAGGTTGAGAACCACTGCTCTAAAGGGAGATCTGTATTCAAATTGTGCCTTGTTGCTATTTGTGAAGCTTTAGGAAGTAAGCATGATATTAACTGACTCTTATTACTATGTGCCCTGAGCCTCCCCACCCCTTGGCAGGGAATGTGCTGTCATTGCCCACTACCATGGGAAGTGGTAGTTCAAACTCAGGGGCCTGAGTAAGGTTCAAGCTCAGGAAGCTCAGCTCCAGCTCACCCACAGACCATGGGAATGCCATACTGTGTCTGGCTGAGTCAGAAATGTGAAGGGACAGAGATTATACTCTACTGGCAAGCTAGCAAGGCAGCCTTCCAGTTACACCTACGCACGCACACACACGTAAATTATATAGCACATAAATGAAACATGAGACCTCTGGGTCAAAGACAAAGCCAGGTCATTGTTCGTAGCAAAAGCAGCAGCCAAAGCAACATGTATGGTTTTCCAAATTCCAGTCTTCTCAGAAATGTAGTGAGGGCCAGGTGGCACTCTCACACACAGTGGGCTGTGTTACAGTAGAGGAACCCCGATCTTATACAGAGCTACTCCCCTCAGGACCTAGTTTTACTCCGCAATGATGTCTCGGGGCTATATAGTACAGTGTAGTATAGTATAGTACTATACTACAGTATAGTACAGCTTCCTGAGCTTGAGCCTTTCTCAGGTTCCTTAAATTGGCTGGGACTCAGCCCTGCAGAAACATGAGATATTCGTAGAGAATTGTCCCCATCACTTCTCAAAGCTATGGACTACTCTGAGCCTGTTTCCCCAGCTGTAAAGTGGGGTGCAGTTCCTGTGGCCTCAGGCAGAAGCTCTGAGTGATCAGTGTCCTGCCCTCAGAGTGGTCAGTGCCCTGCCCTCAGAGTGATCAGCAGCCACAAGGCCCTCCTCTTCCCACAGGGCATCCTTCTCAACTGGACCAAGGGCTTCAAAGCCTCGGGAGCAGAGGGGAACAACATCGTGGGGCTTCTACGGGATGCCATCAAACGGAGAGGAGTGAGGGAGCATCTGTGCCTTCCCAGGGGCTGCCCTGGACCCCACCATACCAGCACTGCTGGCATATCTCCCATCCCCCATCGCCCCACCCTCTGTGCTTCTTGGCAGGACTTTGAGATGGATGTAGTGGCGATGGTAAATGACACGGTGGCCACAATGATCTCCTGCTACTATGAAGACCGCCAGTGTGAGGTCGGCATGATTGTGGGTAAGGGCTCCTTGCAACCCAGCCCCTTCCAGACTACTGAGGCTCCCCGTGTTCAGGATGCTTGGGGCCCCTGCAGGATGATAAGGAGAGGAACAAAGTACCTAACAACTGGTGATGTCCAAGCAGTGTGCCCTGGGTAGTCTTGGGGTGTTGAGATGCAGGCACTGCATAGTGGTGGGAAGCAGCATCACTGCATCAGATGGCACACCCAGCTGCATATCTGCCTGGCCTATCATGATTTAATTAAAACACTTTACCTGGTAAATTTAATAACTAGACTGATTTGTGTAAGTAGAAAAGGATATGCAAAAATGGCACCATCCCTTCCTGGATAGTCTTATCTGGCCCTGCCTCTGTGCTCTTGCCCAAATTGTAGGCAGGTACCCCAAAAGGGAACAGGAGCCCTCTTGTCCTAGTGGAGGGGTCCTCCACACCAACCTCAGGCCATTCTCAGAAGTTTCTGAGGTCATCATAGCAAGCTCTACTGAGCAGCAATCCAATCAGATCAGTTATCTGCATGTGGCTATTTTTCTGGACTCTGGGCCCTGGTTACTCAGGAAGACCTTGTTAAAGTTATTTGTTTTTATCGGCCCTTCAGAGCTAACTCTGAAAGGTTAAGTATTTGTGTACTTAACCTAAAACCCTTACCCATTTGTAATTGTATTCCCCCCTAAAAAATAGCATATACTGTATATATATTTTTATACATACACATATTCCCCAAACATGGCTCAAACACATGGCTGGAAAGCCCAGGAAAACAAAGGTGATGAATAGGCAGAATAAAACCATAACACCCCCCTCCCATCACTTTGATACATGCTCCTTGATCCTCTCAACAGCCAGGTAACAGGTAGAGGAGGTGTTACCATCCTCTCTTAGGGAAGGGGAAAGCCCAGAGAACTGACCCCTCTACCCCCAGCCACACAATCAACCTTAGTCTACCAGCCCCGTAGACAGCCCCCTATCCACTGCTCCAGGCAACATGGACGGACCCTTCACATGGTCATGGAGGGTACAAGGGGCAAAAGGAGGGAGAGCCCTCATGAGCTCTCTGCCCACCAGGCACAGGCTGCAATGCCTGCTACATGGAAGAGATGCAGAATGTGGAGCTGGTGGAAGGGGACGAGGGCCGAATGTGTGTCAACACCGAGTGGGGCGCCTTCGGAGACTCTGGCGAGCTGGACGAGTTCCTGCTGGAGTATGACCGCCTGGTGGACGAGAGCTCCGCGAACCCCGGTCAGCAGCTGTAAGGATCCCTCCACCCCCCAAGCCCAGACCCTGGGCCGCTGGCACAGCAGCAGATGGGAGCCCAGCCACCACAGATAATGGGCTTGTTTTTAAACTGCTCTGGGGAAAAGCAAACTGACAGTCCTTTCGTAAGCTCTGTCCCTTTGGCTCTGTGAACGATTAGTCCACAACTGTTATAACTTCTACCCTTCTGACGGGTGATCTTGGGCTTAGAGAAGGCTCTGAGATGCTTCCGGCAATTTCTGGGTTTAACCCATAGATCCCCAAAGTACATATCTGTCCACGTTCGTAGAATGAGTTTTAGTTTTGTGTGGAATGCTGAAGGTTGGCAAGGTGTAGCCGGGGACCCAACCAGCACAGAGCTTGTCATTAATCCTGGCTATCATTTGTTAACCATCTGCTACGTGCCAGGCCAGTGTTAAGTATTTTATTAGCATTCTGTCTGAGCTCACCGACCTCGACTAGGTCAGTGGTATCAAAGGTAGATGAAAATACGAAGGCTCAAAGATTAGGCAAGCTGGGCACTCAACCTCTGAGCCTTAGTTTCCCCAACTGTAAATGGCTGATGATGACAGCAGCCCCTAACATGGCTGTAGGACTAAAGATATAGGACGCATGCTCAGAGCAGAGGAAGGTTCCAGAGTAACCTGGGCTGGGCTGGGTCTTTGGATTCTGTCCCTTTCTTGTGCTGGGCTCAGCACCAGGCTGAACGTGCACGTTTCAAATCCCTTAAATTTCTAAAGCGCCAGTTCATAAATGAAGGAAAAGACGTGAACCCAGGTCCTTGGGCAAAGGGGGTGGGGTTTGGGGGTGGGAGTAGAGGTGGGGGTGAGAGCGGGGATTGGGGGGCGAGGGGCGTCACAGCGCCCCCACGTGGCCACCTCCACCTGTGTGTGGAACCCTCCCCCGCGGGACTGCTGGCATAACCAGGTGGTCCTGTGTCCAGGTACGAGAAGCTCATCGGCGGCAAGTACATGGGCGAGCTGGTGCGGCTCGTGCTACTCAGGCTAGTGGACGAGAACTTGCTCTTTCAAGGGGAGGCTTCTGAGCAGCTGCGCACGCGCGGTGCCTTTGAAACGCGCTTCGTGTCACAGGTGGAGAGGTACGCGGAGGGACAGTGGTGGAGCAGGGCTCATAGGCGAAGCCCTGGGGCGTGGACCCATCGGGACTGGAGACCAGATCCCAGGGGAAGGCGGAATCCCAGACCCGAGACGCAGGAGCAGGAAATGAGAGACCGGGACGGGGTTCCGGGACTGGGCTGGGCTCAGGTGGAGGAGAGCGTTATCCCGGGGTGGGGACGGCGCAGGAGGCGCGGGAGGCGGGGTCCTGGACTGCGACCTAAAGGGCAGGGGCTGGAGAGAGCTGCAGTCGGAGAAGGAAGCCCCACCCGCACGTCCCCTCCTATTTTCCCCACCTGCCAGGGGCACCATTTCACTTCATCCACGCACAGCCCCGAGGCGCGGCATTGTTGAGATATTGCTGATGTTAGAGCGGAGCCCTGGGCTTGGAGGGAGTGGTACTGGCCGGGTTACTGCTGGTCCTGGGCGGAAGCCGACCCGCTCATTTCCCGAGCCCAAGCCCCAAACGTTTTGGCTGGTTGAGCTGAGCAGGATCCCTGGAGAAATGGCTGGCTGGGGCCCTTACCTAGAGAAACGTGGGCCACCGCTGGGGAAGGGAGGGATGGGCTGGCCGTGTGACCCTCGGTGCCTGTCCTCTCTCCTCCCACCCCCAGCGACTCGGGAGACTACAAGCAAATCCACAACATCCTGAGCACACTGGGGCTTCGGCCCTCCACCACCGACTGTGACATCGTGCGCCGTGCCTGTGAGAGCGTGTCCACGCGCGCCGCACACATGTGCTCGGCCGGGTTAGCGGGCGTCATCAACCGCATGCGCGAGAGCCGCAGCGAGGAGGTGATGCGCATTACCGTGGGTGTGGACGGCTCCGTATACAAGCTGCACCCCAGGTGAGCCCACGCCGCTCTGTCCTGCGTGCTGTCCTCCCTGCTAACACGAGGCTGGAACACGCGCTCCGAAGTTTCCTGTGGCTCCTAGATCTGAGAATTAGTGATTCTCTTCTCTTTGTCCCTCTGACCTTTTAAATGCTGGGAAAGGGTCATTTGCTTTCAAAGTCGTGGGTAATGGCTATGGAGAATGGGCAGGGGTGAAGTCTGGGAGGGCTCAGAGGACAGACAGCAGCCCTGTTTCCCTGCTGTCCAGCTTCAAGGAGCGGTTCCACGCCAGCGTGCGCCGGTTGACGCCCAGCTGCGAGATCACCTTCATCCAGTCAGAGGAGGGCAGCGGCCGGGGGGCGGCCCTGGTCTCCGCAGTGGCCTGTAAAAAGGCCTGCATGCTGGGACAGTGAGAGCAGAGGCCACAGGGGCTGGGAGGAGGCGGCGGCCCACTGGACCTGGACCCCAAGGGGACAGCACTTCCCACAGGTGCTCCCAGCCTGGCCTAGGCAGAAGGCCTGGTCATGTCAGAACCCTGGACACCTCCCAGTCCCAACAGGGAAGGAGGAACCCAGCAGGCCTCTTCTTTGAGTCAGTCAGTGGGACAGACCCAGGGCCTGGACTGGTCAGGGGGATGGGGCACAAGAACAGATTCCTGCAGCTCCTCTCCTTTCTTGCTGGAATCAGCTACCCAGACCGGAGTTGCTCACTCAGGACTTCCTTGCCTCTCCACACTGGCAGCCTCTCAGAGTTGTCAGCTTGGCTTGGGCACCAGCTCTCAGAAGGGGGTGCCCTCTGGACCCTTCTGTGGCCTGACTCCCCTTGAAGTGCCTCCTATGGGAAGGCAGCTACAGCAACTCTGCCATGCCTAGGCCTGGGCCCCACAAGAGCCAAGGGCAGCTGACACCCAGGCCTGGTTGTTCTCTTGCCTGTGGCTTAAGAGGTCCAAGAAGCAATGGGTGGACGCTCCATGGAGGAGGTATCCCAGGCTGTGGGTACCCCCAGAGACCTTTTCCCATGCTTAACGCCCATCCAGAATGGTTTGTGCTTCTGGGATAAACCCTCACAGCAGTTGCAAGAGACAGAACCCCAAGGCCCTTGCTATGAAGGGGAGGAGGACCAGCCCTTCACTGGCAAGAGCCCCCTACCTGCTTCCAAAGGCAGGGTGGCATCTTCAGCTCCCATGGCACTGGCTCAGGAAGAATGGTTTATGCTTCTGGGATGAACCGTCACAGCAGTTGCCAGAGACAGAGCCCCGAAGCCCTTGCCATGAAGGGGAGGAGGACCAGCCCTTCACTGTCAGGAGCCCCCTACCTACTTCCAAAGACAGGGTGGTATCTTCAGCTCCCATGGCACTGGTTCAGGAAGAAGCCCCAAACAGCGCTCAGCACACCCCCTGGGGGCCACCCAAGCCCTTCCTCTTGTCCTCACCAGACCTCTCATATGCCATGCCACCTTCTCCATGCCTGGCTGTGGGCATGGACTGTGTGGGTTTTTTAATTAAAAATTTAAAAGTTTTAAATATGGTCCGTTTACCATTATTTGACCTCTGTGCATAAGGTCTATGGGGTCAACATAGAAAGAGAAATTGTCATGTGCATGCACACTTCACTTCTGTAAACCAAGGTGCATCTTGGGATCTGCCATCCTTTGTGGCCTGCAATGCCCAGGGCATTGTGAAAAGCAACAGACTAGGCTGTAAGAATAGGAATGGGGTGACAGGGGTGGGCCAGAGGTACTGGACAGTGGACTGCCCAGGTGCCTGCTTGCCTACCCAGGGGATTTGTGCAGATGGAGTGCCAGGTTAGGTGCTGCTGGAGTAGGGAAGGGGATCCTGCTGCAGGTTAAGTCTCAGCAGGGTCCTGTCTCCTCAGGGCCACTTAGGTTATGACAGTGAGTGGGGTGCCAGCGATACAAGATGTCACAGGATTTCTTTTTTTTTTTGAGACAGAGCCTCAAGCTGTCCCCCTGGGTAGAATGCCGTGGCATCACAGCTCACAGCAACCTCCAACTCCTGGGCTCAAGTGAGTCTCCTGCCTCCACCTCCCAAGTAGCTGGGACCACAGGCTCCTGCCACAACGCCTGGCTATTTTTTTTGGTTGCAGCCATCATTGTTGTTTGGCGGGCCCCAGGCTGGATTCAAACCCGCCACCTTAGGTGTATGTGGCTGGCGCCTTAGCCACTTGAGCCACAGGTGCCAAGCCTGTCACAGGATTTCTAAGGTCCCTCCAGATGCTCCTATTTAGAGTTTGCCAAACATAGGGCCTAATGCTATTTTTCATGCAGCTTAAACACAGTTCCGTACAAATGTACAGCTATGTGACTGAGACATGCATTTTCTAATGGGAGAAAGTTTACCAGGCCAGTCAGGATCAACTGTTTTATTTCATTCAGAACTTAACCTAAAGTTGTGATTTTGGAAAGTACTTCCCCCTTCAGATCTCTCGTTTTCTTGTACTTCTCATGTGGGATTGCTTCAATTCATAGTACCCTTGAGTCGAAACTAAGCATTGTAAAGTGGTGCAAATGTCTTATGCATTATCAGTACCATTGTACTAATGTTGGAACATTCATGTATTAGCACATGTTTCAAAATATATGGCTTTCTATTTCTCCTTTATATTATAATTTGGGGCATTGCATCAATTTTTAAGAATTATTCATGTACGCTCGGTGCCCATAGCTCAGTAATTAAGGGCACCAGCCACATACACCTAGGCTGGCGGGTTCGAACCTGGCCCTGGCCTGCTAAACAACAATGACAACTACAACAAAAAAATAGCCAGGCATTGGGGCCAGTGCCTGTAGTCCCAGCTACTTGGGAGGCTGAGGCAAGAGAATCGCTTAAGCCCAAGAGTTTTAAGTTGCTGTGAGCTGTCACACCACAACACTACCAAGGGCAACAAAGTGAGACTCTGTCTCCACAAAAAAAAAGGAAGAAAGAAAAAGAAAGAAGAATTATTCTTTTAGGTAGGTTATATGTCTGGATGGAAATGAATAAGTTGAAATAAATGAAGTGAATTTATTTTCCAGATGGAAAAGGTGTCATAAAACACGTGGGCTCAGGGTCTGAGAGATGAGAGCCCCTTTGCTCTTCCAGTCAGCCGCTGACAGACGCAGGCCTGAGCCTGCTGGAGGGGCAGTGGAGGGGGCAGGCAGTGATCCCAGGTAGGGAACAAGCCATCACCCCTGCTACCTCTGGGAGGTCCCCTGCTTCCCCAGGCTCTCAGAAGCTGTTGAGGCTGCTGCTGTAGAAGAGCAAAGAGTGCTCAGGCTTTTGCTCTACCATTCGGCACTACTTCCAAGTCATGTCCCACATGCATGAAGGGCCAAGAGGATGTTTGGGGTTCTGGCTGTATGTTCCAAATCTTCATGCAAAGCAGTATCACATAGGTCTGCCCATCAGCTAGGGTGCCAGGCCCTCTGTGGATATACAGGTGTTGATCAGGCCCGGCAAATGGGAAATGTGTCCCATGAGCTCCCAGCTAGAAATGTTAGAGAGAGCTTTTCTTTTGATGGGGGGAGATGGATCCTCACTCTGTTGCTCAGGCTAGAGTGCCATAGCTCACAGCAACCTCAAATGCCTGGGTTCAAGCAATCCTGCCTCAGCCTCCCAAGTAGCTGGGACCACAAGCGCCCATCACAATTTCTAGCTAATTTTTCTATTTTTAGTAAAGACAGGGTCTCATTCTTGCTCGGTCTGGTCTTAAAGGCCTGAGCTCAAGTGATCCTCCCACCTTGGCCTCCCAGAGTGTGGGGATTACAGACAGGTGTGAGCCACCACACCCCACCCCAGAGAGCTTTTCAAAAGAAGCAGAGCTGAAATGAGGCTTGAGGGTCAACAAGGTTCTAAAGAGCAGAGGTGGAAATCTCCACAGAGAGGGGCCCCAAGCAGGGCAGGCTGGCATGGGGAAGGCTGTGGGGTTTCCTTCTCCCTCCACAATTACCCCCAAAGCCAAGCAAAGGGTTCTGTCTGGGGTCACAGCCAGCTCAGGACTGCCTTCTGCCCTTTAGTCAGAGGGGGAAAAGGCCAGAGCCTAGAGTCTTCACCAAAGCCTCTGGGGATCTCAGACCAGAAACTGTCCTCAGAACACCCACTGCCCTCTCTTGCTCAGCAAGACCCCTAGGCCACCCCTCCCCAGCTGATCATTGCAGTGACCAGGAGTGATGGTCCCATGGGAGTAACCTTCATTCAGCACCTAGAGTGGGGAGATTCAAGCCAGCTCTGCTAGGGGAGACACTGCAACATACCCAGTCCTGCCAGGATGGAGGGACACCACGATGTTACACACTGGGGATGTGAAGGTCACTAAGAAAGTAACTGGAATCCGCTGTGGCCCTTGTGCCCCCCTCTCAGGCAGGGACTGCCAAATTTGGGCCTGTCTTTTGCTCCTCTCCTTATTTGGACCTCCAGGTGATAAAACTGAGACATAAAAGAGGCTGGGCCCTGTGACAACTGTGACAGCAGCCAGGCCACTGTGTAAAGAGAATGGTGAGTGCCTACTGGTGCCAGCCTTTGGGCTTGGGGGACAGAGCCAGGGACTTCTGTGCCTGCACTGAGCCCAGAGAGGTCTCCATGGATACGAGGAGGCCCCTGACCAGGCTCTCTTAGTCAAACTCTAGGGCTGTGCAGGGATGGGGAAGGGAGACTTTCAGGAGTCGGGGAGAAGACCATCTTCCCAGCTTTGGAATTGTAGGCCAGCAGGAAGGCGGGGACCCGAGGCAAGGCCACAGCCACCAAGCAGATCCAACGTGGCTCTTCCAACGTCTTTTCCATGTTCGAACAAGCCCAAATCCAAGAGTTCAAGGAGGTGAGTGCCCATCGCCAACAGCCCCATCCCAGCACTCCCACCTGCCTCCTACTTCCCTCTCACACCACCCTCCTGCCTTCCCTGTGGTGGGGGAGCTGCGCCTACTGAAAGGCCCCCACCTCGCAGGCCTTCAGCTGCATCGACCAGAATCGTGATGGAATTATTTGCAAGTCAGACCTGAGGGAGACCTACTCCCAGCTCGGTGCGTGAACTCACCCCACCCCACACCCTGCTCACCCCAGGACCCTGAGAGGACCGTGCCTTGCACCTCTCTTGTAGTACTTGCGTCTCCTTACACTGCTTTCCCCTTCTTGTCACACCTTCCTTCCATGTCACCTCCCTCACCCACTCCTTTGCCTCTCTACCCTGTGGCCAGAAAGGAGGGGAGGGCAGCCTGGGCCCTTCTCAGGGACACCCAGGGTCCCTGTGTGCATCTCATACCCCAGTACCACCAGGAAAGGTGAGTGTCCCGGAGGAGGAGCTGGATGCCATGCTGCAGGAGGGGAAGGGCCCCATCAACTTCACTGTCTTCCTCACGCTCTTTGGGGAGAAGCTCAATGGTGAGCCTAGAGCAGAGCTGGGCTCTTGTGGCTAGACAGCAAGCCAGAACCCCACTTGAACCCTGCCTAAACCTCACTTGAACCCCACCTAAACCCCACCTAGATCCCACCTGCCATGGCCCCTTCAAAGGACTTGGGGCCCACCCCTGCACATCTTCTGCTTCAGCATCCTATGGGCATTGGGCCCACTCCCCAGTCCCACCCCAGTGTTAATGTGGGCTCAGGAAATGCGCCTTCCTTCAGTCTCCACTCCCAAATCCCAGACTCCAGCCAGGCCGCCTTCCTAGGAAGATAGGCTTTCCCAGCCCCTCTGAGACCCAAAGAATACTTCATTTTCGAAAATGCTCCACCCACCTATTCTGGGACATGGTGGGATCCTCATGCATCCCAGATTCCTCCTGGAGGGGACCCAGGAGGATGGAGATGTGGCATTCACCTGGTTATCTTGGCTTCCAGGGACAGACCCTGAGGAAGCCATCCTGAGTGCCTTCCGCATGTTTGACCCCAGTGGCAAAGGAGTGGTGAATAAGGATGAGTAAGTTTGAGCCCAACCAGATGAAACCGAGGGCTGTGAGGACCCTTGTAAGGGGGGCTATCTGTACTTTAGAGCCTTCACCGCTCTTTATGAGGTGGAGCAGTCCTTCCCGGGCTTCCCTTCCTCTTCCCTGTGTGATTCCCCACTCCCAGGTCACCCTACTTAGACCCTTCCACTTCCCCCAGGTTCAAGCAGCTTCTCTTGACCCAGGCAGACAAGTTCTCCCCTGCCGAGGTGAGCCTTTCTGGCCCCTTCAACACCTGTTCCCAGCATCTTCCCTAGGCCTTCCCCTCTCAGGGCACTGGGAGGCCTTTGGCAACCCATTGCCCACTATAGCTCAGAGCCCAGCACCAGTGTGGCAGTTGCTGAAGGGGTGACCCAGGGTCCTTCCTGGAGGAGGTGCCATCTGTGTTGAGATCTGGAGGGTAAAGACAAGGAGTCAGAAAAGAGAGGAGGGTGTGCCAGGCAGGGAGACTGTGTGCCTGACCCATGGTAAGGGCTTCTGGAGGAGGCTTTGTACACGTGGGGTGGGCCTGTCCCTGTGGCCAGGGTGGGCCCTTTGACCCACAACCCCCATTTACTACTCCCCAGTCTGCTCAGAGTCAGCCAGTGGAAAAACTCAGACTTTTGGGTTTGGGGTTGCAGAGGCTACAGCCCAAAGCATGGCCCCAGTAAGCAGGGTGAAGGGCCACTGGTCTCCCTTGGGTCACAGCTCCATGGGCTGCCCTGGGAGGCTGGGGCTGCCTCTCACCAATGCCCCCGTAGGTGGAGCAGATGTTTGCACTGACGCCCATGGATCTGGCAGGGAATATCGACTACAAATCCCTGTGCTACATCATCACCCACGGAGACGAGAAAGAGGAGTGAGGGCAGGCCTGTGGGTGCTTCAATAAACTCTGTTGCTGAATTAGAATTGTAGTGGTGGCTTGTCTGTGACAGATGGGGTGGGACCCAGCCCAGGGGATCTCAGGGGCCCCATGCAGGCATCACTGTGATGGTGATCACTACACACATCTCGGAGCCAGCCCCTCACCACCTCACCTCGATTCACCCCACACTGCCAAGTGGAGTATGGACCCATGATCATGCCCAGTTTATAGATCAGGCCCAAACCACACCTCCAGGAAAGGAAATGGTAGGTTTTACACCCCCCTTCACCAGGCACAATGTGTGCACTGCCCAGCTCCTCAAGGCTATGCAGAGAAGAGGCTGCATGCTGGGTGCCCAGCAAACTCTGTGTGCCAATGCCTTACTGGCAGGCAGCAGCCCTGGGCCCCTCTTGGCACACAGGCTCAGAAGGACCTCCCTGCACACCAGCATGCATTTTGCTGGGTCCTGCATGAAAGGCACAGGGAACTCATTTGAAAACCTGGCCACCAACTTGAGGACAATACAAGCAGGGTGCTATGACAGAATGGACACCAAGGGAAGGTCCAGAGTGCACACAAATTTTTGGAGGAATTACTCAGAAACTGGCCTGTATCTCATGAGCCCCTCACCCCAGGGGAGAAAGCATCAGACAGCTGGAGGGCAGAGAAAGGGCTCTCAGGGGAAAACTGGTAGTGTCCCCACCCCCTACCTCAATTTTTTTCTTTTTGAGATGGAATCTCACTTTGTCACCCTTAATAGAGTGCTGTGGTTTCATAGCTCACAGCAACCTCAAACTCTTGGGCTCATGTGATCCTCTTGCCTCAGCCTCCCAAGTAGCTGGGACTATAGATGCCTACCACAACACCTGGCTATTTTTTTGTTTGTTTGTTTTGTAGAGACAGAGTCTCACTTTATCGCCCTTGGTAGAGTGCTGTGGCATCACACAGCTCACAGCAACCTCCAACTCCTGGGCTTAGGCTATTCTCTTGCCTCAGCCTCCCAAGTAGTTGGGACTATAGGCACCTGCCACAATGCCCGGCTATTGTTTTGTTGAAGTTTAGCCGGGGCCGTGTTCAAACCCACCACCCTCAGTATATGTGGCCAGCACCCTACCCACTGAGCCACAGGCGCTGCCCTGTATTTTCTTTTCTTTTCTTTCTTTTTTTTTTTTTGCAGTTTTTGGCCAGGGCTGGATTTGAACTTGCTGTCCCCAGTATATACGGCCAGCACCCTACTCCTTGAGCCAAAAGCACTGCCCTGTAGTTTCTTTTTTTTAATTGTTGAGGATTCATTGAGGGTACTGAGAACCAGGTTGCACTGATTACATTTGTTAAGTAAAGTCCCTCTTATACACCTGGCTATTTTTTAGAACTGGGATCTCACTCTTGCTCAGGCTGCTCTCAAACTCTTGAGCTTAAGCAATCCACCCAAGTGCTAAAGGAGGGGATGACTTCTGTCATGAGTACTGAAGGAGCAACAGGGGACCTGCAAAGCACTAGACAGAGGCAGAGACAGAGAGAACAGTGACAGACCCAGTGGGCACAAAGCCACCTGCAGAAACAGAGCAGGAGCACTCTGCCTGCCTCACCCCTCCCTCCGAGCCCTGCTGCTGAGGGGATGGGAAAGGTGAATGAGAAGGGAGAACCAACCATATTCCCTTCCTACAGGCCCCAGGAGGAAAGGCATTTTCACCTGGAGAGCGGTTGAGTTTTGATTTTTATCCAGGACCTGGAAATTTAATTATCAAATTGAGACGAGATTTAAAGTAATCGTAGCATTTTCTATTGTTTATAAGAGATTGCAAAAGTCATGGAACTATCCAAGTTTTCATTCTAAGAGCTGGCAGGCCACCAGCCCACTGACCCTGGGCATTTATTTTCATAAAGAAAGGGACAGTAGATGAACAAAATGAAGCAGCTATTAATTCATGTGATTCTGTCACATGAGTCAACAGCGTTCAACCAACTGATTTCATAAAGTAGGTAATAATTTTATAAGCCAAACTTCTAGAGGGAAAAATTATGAAAGACTGAAATGGAACAAAAAGATCAGGGGTGTCTGGTTATCTGATTTGATGGGGTCTCTGCACCTGTCACTGCAAACTAAGTTGAGCTATTTCACAGCTCTGTAACTTGTAGATAGCTACAAGTAAAAGAGATAGTTAATAGCAAGGCAGTTGTCCTTGTCCATAGATGTACAAATAAATGTCCAGCAGAAGCACAACTGATTTTTCCCTTCTCCTCCAATTTTTCATCTATTAAGCAAATTCATCTCAGCATTCCTAATTATCTACACACACACCTGTTCTTTAATTTCTCCTCTGAACCAGTTGTAACATCTTGTCGGTTCCCTCATGAATTAACAAATAAATAAAATCTTTGAGAGGTGTGCATTTTATTTCCTCCATGAGGCATCATTTTGCTTTTAAAAAGTCATCTTTTGGCCAGGCATGGTGGCTCATGCCTATAATCCTAGCACTCTGGGAGACTGAGGCAGGTAGATTGCACTGTTCTCACAGGTTGGAGACCAGCCTGAGCAAGAATGAGATCTATCTCTAAAAATAGCCAGGCGTTGTGGCGGGCGCCTGTAGTCCCAGCTACTTGGGAGGCTGAGGCAAGAGAATTGCTTGAGCCTAAGAGTTGGAGGTTGCTGTGAGCTATGACACCATAGCACTATACCGAGGACAACAAAGACTCTGTCTCCAAAAAAAAAAAGAAGTTATCTTTTCTGAGCAGGCGCAGTGACTCACGCCTGTGATCCTAGCACTCTGGGAGGCCAAGGCAGGCAGATCCCTTAAGTTCAGGAGTTCGAGACCAGTTTGAGCAAGAGCAAGGCCCCATCTCTACTAAAAATAGAAAAACTAGGCTCTGCACCCATAGCTCAGTGGTTATGGCTCCAGCCACATACACCAGGGCTGGCAGGTTCAAACCCGGCCAGGACCTGCTAAACAACAACAAAATAGCAGAGCGTTGTGGCGAGCGCCTGTAGTCCCAACTACTTGAGAGGCTGAGGCAAGAGAATCACTTAAGCCCAAGAGTTTGAGGTTGCTGTGAGCTATGATGCCACAGTACTCTACCCAGGGCCACAGAGTGAGACTCTGTCTCCAAAAAAATAAAAAATAAATAGATAAATAAAAAGTTCTCTTTTCACATTCCTGATAGAATAACCTGGTAAGGTTAGTTCTTTCACACCAAAACTGCATGTGTTCATGTTAGTTTGGAAACTAACTAACTAAAACTGAGGGAGTGTGCGTGTGTATGTGTATGTATATGTGTATGTGACAAAAGAGACAAAAGGATAGAAACAGAGATGTCCTCAGACCCAGGACATGAGTTCATCCTGCACCACTGCCCAATGCAGCAGCCACTGACCACCCAAGACTCCTGAGCACTTGAAATGTGGACGATGCTACAAGTGTAAAAATGCATATCATATTTTGAAGATTTAGTACTGAAAAAGAATGCAAATATCTCAATAGATTATATGTTGAAATGATAATATTTTGGATATATTGGATATGAACTAAAAATAAAATCCTAAGCATCCTGCTAACTGAATGCACCCCTCTTGGCCAAGGGGACTACAGAAAAACCTTAACACTGAGTTCCTGCCATGACAGTATGGGAGCTATAAAGCACATTACACATGCCCATATTTTCTGTTTTCATAAATATTCATGACTTCTCCTATAGCTTGTTAAACATGTATATTTAGCCACTTACTCTGAATAAAATCCTGTTCCTTTTGTCTCTCTGAAGCATGCATTCCTGGCTTATGGCTGGGAGCTGTGTTTGCGAGCTTGCCAGAATGGCCACGCTCAGCTAAAAACCCTTTATGAGAAATAAACCTCTCCTTTTTCCAAAGTATAAATCTCATCTTTTTTTTTTTAATTAACATTGGTTAAATTAAAACATTACTAACACAGCCTTGGTTGGGTGCGGCTCATGCCTGTAATCCTAGCTAGCACTCTGGGAGGCCAAGTCAGGTGGATTGCCTGAGCTCAGTTTGAGAATGCCTTGAGCAAGAGTAAGACCTCATTGCTACTAAAAATAGAAAAACTAGCTGGATGTTGTAGTGGGCACCTGTGGTCCCAGCTACTTGGGAGGATTATAAACTGAGGCAGGAAGATCACTTAAGTCCAGGAGTTTGAGGTTGCTGTGAGCTATGACTCTATTGTACTCTACTCAGGGTACAGAGTGAGACTCTGTCTTAAAAAAATTAAAAAAAAAATTTTTTTCTAAAATTAATTTCACCTCTTTTTCACTTTTTAAATGTGGCTACTAAAAATTTTTGAATTCCAGGTGTGGCCCTCATCCTCATCTCACAGCATAAGTTAGACTTTGTAATGCATCTGTGGCTTTCTGTGAGATAGGTGCCAGCAGCCTCATCACCTCCATAAGATGGATACCACCCACCACTGACTTGCACCACAGGACTGTGTAGGATAAAAGATGAAAGGACAAAAAGATGAGAATACCATATGTTAGGTAATTGCCCAAGAAAAGCCCCTTCCCCAGAAAGCCCCTTCCTGCTTTCAACAGACCAAGACTAGTTGTCTCACTCTTAAAGTTACAGCTCATTTCCAAGCACAGGGAGTTGCCTACTAGACATCTCCTTATCTCCTAGTCGCAAAACTTGCCTCATCTCTCTGTCCCAGTTACCCACTGAAAATTTCAAACTTATGGCCTGCCCCTAATGGCTCTTCCCGCCAGAGCAGTAACTCCTTATTGCCAATTCTACCATCCTATCACCTTCTGAGACTTCCCCTAACTGAACCTATATAAGGGGGCACTTTTCTTTTAGTCCCTCCTCCTCTTCTCTCTCTCCTCTTTTCTCTCTCCTCTTCTCTCTCCTTCTTGATGCTTCTCTGCAGCATCCCTCGCCAATAAAGACCTATGGTACAAGCCTTGGTGGTCTGTAAGATCTTTGCTGGTCGAGTACCACCCTTTCACCACAACTCTGAAATAATGACAGGCACCTACTCCTACTCTTAGATCAGTCTGGATTGGGCCAGAACAGAGATAAGAATGAATGGACCAA